CCCCCCCCCCCCCCCCAATCGCCTGACATACATTATGGACGACCCCATTCCACCTCAGAATTTATCGTTAATATTTTATTTTAATTCATAGAAAATTCATTAAGTACATGTACTTGCTTTTTAACTTACATTTATAAGTTCTGTTATGAATGGCTTACCATATAAATAAGACGTCGCGGCATTGTGCCGCGTCAACTCTTTCTACGTCATTGACTAAAAAGTGAATGAAATTTTTCAGCGGACGTGAGACAATGGTTGTGAACAGGGGAAAATATCATGTTAATTCAACTATGTGTTTATATTACGCCGAGTTGTTTACCCTTCTAGAAATAGAATGCCTTTATAAAATATATAATACACATGCAGTGTGTAACTAAGGATAGTGCCATCAGGGGAGGATCAATATTTTTGACGCCCCTTGTATACTTATATAGTTTAGTTGTTCATGTATACTTATCTAGATTAGATGTTCATGTATACTTATATAGTTTAGATGTTCATGTATACTTATATAGTTTAGGACTACACAAACTGGTTTCATTCTTTAATAGGAAATAGACAATGCAATAAATGCAATAAATGCAATAACCTGACAGCATCTGTAATACTAATAGTTACATTTGTTAAAATCTGCCATTGTGCTTAGTGCTGCGCCATTTGTTTGGGTCCACTCGCTAATACTTAATGCCTCCTCTGGGTCAAGAGACTACTTCAGCATTGACTGTTGCTTATTTGTTTATAGCTCACTTTAAATACGCACTTTTAAAGAAGTGACAAATTATCATTGTTATTAAGTGGAATAGCTCAAAACCACGGACTGTGTCATCCGTTGTGAAACAAGACAGACTGATTTTTAAAAAATGCATGTGGTACATTGATTGTCATTTATTATAAATATTTCATAAATTAATAGGATATTACAGGTGCTAATCATTTAAAAACCGATGGTGGCTGCACGGCTGTATCGTCAAAACTGAGTACTGAGTCAGTCCCAAGCTGAGTACTGAGTCAGTCCCAATCTGAGTACTGAGTCAGTCCCAAGCTGAGTACTGAGTCTGTCCCAAGCTGAGTACTGAGTCAGTCCCAAGCTGAGTACTGAGTCAGTCCCATGCTGAGTACTGAGTCAGTCCCAAGCTGAGTACTGAGTCAGTCCCAAGCTTGTGGGCTGGAGCTCAATCCCCAGTAAAAGAAAGTCAGGCAAAAAAAAACCAGCACCATCACCAGCACCAGCACCCTGGTTGAGTGGGACTCTGAATTCAACCCGGAGATGGAGTCCTGAAAGCGGCATGGCAATGACACAATGATAACTCTTGCGAAGCTACTGGCGCCAAGCTGTATCATCCAACGTGATGATGATGATGGATGATGATTGAATAATTTTATAGCGCTTGTGTCCATGCTATTGTTGCATGCTCACAGATGTCCTCTGATGTCCTAAAATCTATTTATAGATAAAATTCTTTAAGTGTTTCTAAAATGAATTTTTATCATATTCAAATTTCCTTCAAAGACTGGGGCAAATTTTTCCATAATTTAGGCGCAATAGCTTCGAAAGAGAGCACACTGTATGACTTCTTTCTGTGTCCATCCAAACTGGGAACTCTCAGTAAGGACTGTGTTGAAGAGCATGCATGGAGATGCAAGGAGGGAGATGATTTGCTGTTCAGAGTACCAGCTTGTCCTCCTAAATAAAATCACAGGCTTTGTGATTTCATCCTGCCAGGTCCACATAATTGTCCAAAATAAAAATCATGATGAACGGATCTTGTTTAACTCGCCATCTCAAAAGTATAAAAAAATTGCATCCAGAATTTCATGTAGAACTCTTCCCAAGGATAATCTTATTGCTCCAATCCAAATACACCCATCACAGATTTGGTAAAACAACAACAAAAATAGGGGAGATAACACAAAGCAGGGGAGATAAAGCAAAGTTGGATAAATCTTAATAATTAAAGCACTAATAAATTAACAAAAATGTAAGTAAAATTATTTAAGAAAATAAATGTGAAATATACACATATGGTATCACTGGGCCTCCCTTCGCTCAAACAAGCTCTTTCTTAATAATCAAAGAAACTTTATTTTTAATCCACCCATTTGTCTGCCCCTTATTCCTCTTCTCCTTTCTTTATCACAGTCGAAACAAAGACAGTTTTCCAAATCTTGGTCAGCTTCTAATGAAACATCATGCCAAAAATTAGTGCAGAGATGAATTAAACTTTTTTGAAATAGTAACTGATTAATAATTTTTTCTGGCAATTTTAATTTCATCAATTCCTTGTCCTTATTTCTGCAAGTGGAACAGGTTCGTGAGTTTAAAACACCACAAACAAAAACAAAAGAAATCCTGTAAAGCGAGTGTGGCTTATGCCATGGAAGGTAATCATGTACACATGTGGTATCACTAGCTTGACTCACTCTGACATCCAGTTTTTGCTTCAGCTCAGTTTCATTTGGAAGAATAAACATATCATATGAAGTGAAAAAATTATTCACAATGAAGTAACGAGCCAAGTCATCCTGACCTGACAGTAAGGCCACACATAATGGAGAAATAGGGGTCTCATGGTGGTTGGAGTCGATGAAACTGAAACAATATTCGAAGCATCTTCTATCAAAGGGGGGACACCCGTTAATTAGCATCAGCCTCACAATCTCTTTCTCACCCCGTGCGATCATTTCATGCAGATAGGATTGATCTGTTTTTGACACTGTCATGTCTGCTCCATTCTTGAGTATACATTTAACAATTTCAAAATCACCCAGACAGTTTTGAAAGGCATAACTTAAAGCTGTCTTACCATCAGTCCCCATCTGGTCAACTTTTGCCCCACTTTTGATAAGCAGTTTAGCAGTCTCAATCTCCATTTTTTGCAGAGCATACATGACGGCTGTGTATCCCTCTGAACTTAAAGCATCAACATCTGCTTTTGAATTCAATAAACACTGTACAGAGTGCCTTTTGCCTTGACCTGCAGCATGAATTAGGGCAGTTTTACAAGCTCTGTCACGCTGATTGACATTACACTGATTGTTGATCAAAAACTGAACACAATCATCTTTACCCCATCTGCTAGACAGCATGAGTGCTGTAATGCCCTCATTGTCGGCCTTGTTGAAGTCTGCTTTATCTTCCATTAGCTGAAGGCAATCCAGGTAGCCTAAGTCTGCTGCATACATGATAGCAGTCATGCCATGCTTGTCAGCTGCATCCACTTTGGCGTTCCATTTGAGAAGCACTTTAACGCATTCAATCTTCCCAAGAGTAACTGCAAGGATTAAGGGTGTTTGTCCATGACTATTGATAATAATATCAGGGACGCACATTTTCTTTTTTAGCAACCAACTAAGTTTTTTAATGTCATTTTCATTAATTGCCTGTATCATCTCATCCTTTGGTTTAGCCATTGCAATGGATGTGAAGCACACCATATATCATTCACAAGCACTGTAAAAAAAGTGAATAAAATTTCTTTAAATAAATTATCTATATTGTATTTAAATTATGAAACTTTATTAATATACTACATGCATGAACATTTAGTTACATGTATATTTTAATGCTATTTCAGGGATTAAAAAGACATTTAGTTTATCTTAGAGAAAAGTTTTCAAACATGGGTCTTGATCTCTGAAGGGGTCAGGAAATTTTTCTGGGCCTTTGAGAAGCCTAAATTCTGAGTAATACAGAAATTTGATTTCAGTTATGATGGTGTGGCATGGGGTTGTTGGTCTTTTGAGTATTTGAAAATATGGATCAAAGTGTAGGGAAGCATTGTCTTTGATTAACATGTGCAAAAGTTAAATAATTTTCAGCACCAAATCAATGAAACAGTAAAATAAATGTTGAAACTTAAGGATCATGAGGCTGATGCAGTGATGGAATTTTTAAGAAATGTGTGATTTATCTGGATAGTTTACATTCATTTGTGATAACCCTTAATTAGACATAGGGTGGGATTTGACCAAAAAGTTAATAAAAAAATGGACCATATAAAATATAATAACAATAAATTGGGTAGTGTAGCGTCATAATTTAAAGGTCATTTTAATCATTGATCGTATTTTAGGGTTATTAAATTATAAACTTGTAACCTCCCCCTCAGAGGTGTCAATAAAACAGATTATTTTTGTACAGGGAATTTCAGTTAAGAATTTAAAATAGGTTAACAGGTTATTGATTATCATAAGACATTAGGTATTTTTCAATAAAGAAGGAGAGCATCTCAATGATGGAAATGTTCTCAAAGTAAATGACAAGAGACGGCTGGCACTTAATTTTTTTAGTACTGGTACAATGTTTTTAAAAATATTCATAATTTATATAAGTAACAACAATTAGAAATTGTACATAATTATTTGAAAGTGAAAGGACTAGACGTATTAGTTCTCATACTCATAGTCATACTGATTATACTATGACCATAGTATAGTATTTCATTTTTTTTAAAATTATGATTCTAAAATTACTAATAAATTCATAGGGACCAATTCAATAGTTAGGGACCGTTTTGATCATACTCATTCTGTACTGAGAACTCTTCAATATAATAAATGTCTGACACTCTGATCAGTAGGCTAAATGGAAACACACTTTCCACAAAGATAATAAATGCTGAAATGGCAAGGTAGGAAATAAATGAATGCTTACTATACTAGCAGAGTATTTATTATTTAGTATTTATCCAAATTTACTTAATTAGTAATTAGTATAGTAATAGTATATAATTATTATAATAGTACAATTAGTACCTAGACCTAGATCTAGTCCTAAGTCATTCGTTGTTGACGGCACCGGCAGACCTCAAGTCAATGCCACTAAATATTATAATGAGAGTATTACTAATATTTAGTATTATTTATGCTGTAAATTGCGTGTAACACTGAGTAATAGTAATAATGAATTGAATGTGAATACTGAAGTCGTGAAGTTACTGAGCTGACCGCGTATTTCTGAGTTCTCTCTCAAATTTTGATCACATGCGTTACATGTCAATGCTTACTACTACCACTTACATATATTTTTTAATAATTAAATCTCTGGACAAAATTAATATAATTTAAATGGATTTAAAAATTGTAAACGGTTGACCGATATCTAATGTTACTAATACTAGTACTATAATGTTCAGAAGTGTTTATTTTTGTTGACACTTCGCAGAATAGACGTTTGCCAGATTTTTCTAACATTGGTAAGTTCATAATTATGAGCAAAGTATTTAGCCTACTCGTAAAAATTAAAGTATTTAAATTAATAGATCATTCTGTTCTGATGTGATATTAATTGAAATTTAAAACATATTTTATTATGGGAAAGATTACTTTAATTCAGTAATCAATAGAGAAGGATGAATGATGGTTAAAAAAAATCAATTAATTTTTCATTTCAAAATAATGTAGATCTAATAATGTAAATTCTTTTTAACTTTGTTTTAGTTTTATTTATTTTTAACATTTATTCGACCAGGTACAGACCAATTTATTACAATTATTTACATAATTTTTTATTGTATCTTAATATTTAAATGCATTACTTTGTCGAGTCATGTCTGGAAAACAAATCGACAACTTCAATCACGACAATGAAAGGTATTTCCAAGAAAACCGGAAATGAAACCAGAAATCCTATAAATAAATGTAAGGGAAATAGTCTAGCGATTACCCGCAAACGAGCTGACTTGCGCAGTAGTTTTCACTGTCCATATACCATATTTTCGCGCATATAAGACGCACGCACCTGTATAAGACGCGGTTTTGACCATTTGTGTTAAAAAATATTTTACATAAGACGCACCCATATATGATATAAGACGCAGCCTGGGTGCGGGGCTTGTAGAATTTGTATAAGAAGCGTCTTATATTTATATACGCGAAATACGGTAAAGCAGTGTTTTCCAACGTGGGTAATATAAATTGTAAAGAGGGTGGGCAATTTGAAAATAAGCTGTCTAGAATTTAAAAACCCACCGTCTATTATGATTAAAGGAGAATCTTTAAAGTCTAAAAATTTTAAAAGGAGAATCGCTAGAGTGTCAATATTTTAAAATATTTCACTTTCTGTTATTTATATTAATTCTTCTTCTGCCCTCTTGGATACTAGTTTTCAGCTAAGTGCTATTTTTTAATGTAATTCTGATTTTTCTTCTATTGTTTGTTTGCTGACAAAGGGTTCCTGCCGAAATGTTCGTTGTTCTGTTGCATTCCTTTTTCAGGTTTTCACCTACTTCGTTATAGGGGTGGTCGTTCACAAATTACGTCACGCAAAACGTAACCTTTTCAGACCCCCTCCCCCCTGTCAAAAAGTGTCACAAATTCTTTGCCTCCGCCCCCCCCCCCACCCCCGTGTCACCTTCACACCTAAAAAAAATATTTAAAAAAATAACATTTTCATAACTAAACTAAGATGTTATTTTATTCTTTCCCATTTTTCCATAATGGATTCAGATGGCGAATTATTAGAAAAATGTGACGTAAAACGCTAAAGAGCGAAGCTCCCCCCCTCCCCACCCCCCGAGCCGAATGTAAAATGGCCACAACAATTTTTGCGTAAATTTCAATATGCGTAGAAGGTGTGCGCGACTGATTTTAACTTTACTGTCGGGATCATATTGTCCACTGATTTAGAAGAAAGATTTTGTGATATAAAACAAATTGATTTTCCCACGTGGACGATACAGCCAATGCTAGTGCATTTGTCTTAAAATTAAAATATGCAAAATCAAGAAGAACTCACAGCAAGGCAAAATGATGAGTCTATTCAAACTGTATTTCATATAAAAGTCGCGATGCCATGGCTTTGTGAGGAAACAAAAATCAAAAATCCGAATTCGAACACATTCGAATGTGCAATAAAGCTTTTGTAATCTTTCCCATCTTCATATTTAACTGAATGTGGATTTAGTGCCATGATTTGCTGTTTAAACACAAAAGTTTCCTGGATTTAACACAGCGGGGATACTTGAGACTAAACGATAGTGATTTGAAGGACAGCATTCAAGTTACACTAGAACAAGGTGATATGTTGAAGCTTGAATCAGTAGACAGGTCAACAAGATGTGAACGTTTCGGCTAAGAGCCATCTTCAGCGAACAGGACAAATGAAAACACAACAAGAAACAGAGAAACTCTGTTCAAATTAAGGGCTGAACTAAAAGGAATCCGGGGAGGAAAACAAAAAATCAGAAATCAAACAGAAAACTAGCTGATTTCGTAACAGCTCCCATCCGTTACATTCAAAATCTCATCCTGGCAATCTACCTTATATCTGGTAATGTGTATGAAAGATACTTGTTCGAATGAAAAATTGTTCGTTTGAAGCAAAGGAATTTTTTTCGAACGGAAGTTTATTCCAAATTAAATTGATTTAAAATAAGATTTTAAAATATTGGTTTTTACACATTTCAAGGCAGTGAGAAATGGAGGCCAAGTGTAAAATGTTTTAATATTTTTGTCCGCAATGATTTCTTTTCTAACCGGATGCTACACCTACAACTGTAGGCTATGTTATTGTTTTATTTTAAAAAAAAGAAGTTGAAATGATTCTTTTCCCAGAAACATCACACATTCCATTATAGATGCTAGGTATGACTTATTTCTTTGGATAAAATAGTTTAGCTTGTGGTAAGCAACAGCCACTCCAACACACCCACTCCATTACACCCACACCCACTCAACCGCACCCACTCACCTGCGCCCACTCAACTACACTCACTCAACTACACTCACTCAAATACACTCACTCAACTACACTCACTCAACTACACTCACTCAACTACACTCACTCAAATACACTCACTCAACTACACTCACTCAACTACACTCACTCAGCTACACTCACTCAACTACACTCACTCAACTACACTCACTCAACTACACTCACTCAACTACACTCACTCAACTACACTCACTCAACTACACTCACTCAGCTACACTCACACTACATCCACACCCACTCAAAGACACGCACGCACTCAACCGCACCCACTCCATCACACCCACTCAGCTACACCCACTCAACTACACCCACTCAACTACACCCACGCAACCATACACAAACTCAACCACATTCACTCAACTGCACACATACAACATCCTCTCAAACACAGCCACTCACCCCTTCTTGTTGTCCCTTTCTTAACTTCATAAATAAAGTCCTTGCGGTGAGAACTCCAGGATCAAGTTGACATTTCCGAGGGCGCTAATCAGTGTGACTATTCCCTGGCAATGTTCCCTCTATAAGGTTTGCTGGTTCACGTGCAAAATAATACATTTGTGTGCAAAGTTTTACAGCATGAATTTTTTGATGTGCAAAATTTTACAGCCCACAAACAAAAACACACACAAGGAAATTTGCTGCGCGGATACTCAAAACTGCTGCGCGGCGTCTGTGAGTTAGCTGCGTGGCCGCGCAGCTTAAAGGGACATTGTTCCCGGGCACTAACCAATGTGACTATTCCCTGGCACTAATCCTTGTGGCTTAGCTGGTAAGGGGGTCAGATCCTTAATGTGACAAGACTAGTTAAAACTTTACGGGGTCAGATCCTTGGTGTGACAAGACTAGTTAATCTGGTACGGAGGTCAGATCTTGTGTGTGACAAGACTAGTTAATCTGGTACGGAGGTCAGATCTTGTGTGTGACAAGACTAGTTAATCTGGTACGGAGGTCAGATCCTTGGTGTGACAAGACTAGTTAATCTGGTACGGAGGTCAGATCCTTGGTGTGACAAGACTAGTTAATCTGGTACGGAGGTCAGATCTTGTGTGTGACAAGACTAGTTAATCTGGTACGGAGGTCAGATCCTTGGTGTGACAAGACTAGTTAATCTGGTACGGAGGTCAGATCCTTGGTGTGACAAGACTAGTTAATCTGGTACGGAGGTCAGATCCTTGGTGTGACAAGACTAGTTAATCTGGTACGGAGGTCAGATCCTTGGTGTGACAAGACTAGTTAATCTGGTACGGAGGTCAGATCCTTGGTGTGACAAGACTAGTTAGTCTGGTACGGAGGTCAGATCCTTGGTGTGACAAGACTAGTTAGTCTGGTACGGAGGTCAGATCCTTGGTGTGACAAGACTAGTTAATCTGGTACGGAGGTCAGATCTTGGGTGTGACAAGACTAGTTAATCTGGTACGGAGGTCAGATCTTGGGTGTGACAAGACTAGTTAATCTGGTACGGAGGTCAGATCTTGGGTGTGACATGACTAGTTAATCTGGTACGGAGGTCAGATCTTATTTTTTTGAAACGTTTTCATCTGATATTTTGTCAAGGTAATTCTATCATTTTGAGGAAACATAGTGATAAGGATTTTTTTTAAAAAAAAAAAATTAATTTGCCCCCTTCTTTAAATACCGTTAGCACCCCATCCCATACCCCTTTTTTAGCGCAATCCTGTAACTCTTATTAAAAATATGTTCCTGCCTGGTTACATAACCCATTGTAGTGATCTCGTGTACTTGCCATTGTAATACCAATGCTTTGAGATCCCCTGAATATTTATTAGCCAAACTCCCCCCTTGATAACAATCCATGTCACCAACTAGTAATTAAAGTCAGCCACTCGGGGCTTGAATAACTCGTCCGCAGCACGCCTCTCACGTCTCACCGTTGGCAACAGTGGAAAGTGCCGCATGGAAACGGATGGAAACGTCACCACTATTGATCCTCTGTGAGGGTGACTGATGGGGAACTTCAGGGGCGTGTCCGGTAATATAGATGTCTGTTGTTGTTTGGGAGTTTCGACATGAGATTTTTAAATATTTTTTATAAGCTTCAAATAATTGAATTATTCAATAAAAGCGCAATACCGGAGCCGTCATTGAAAAGTAGGTCAAAGGTCACAGCCAAAGTGTTCATAGATATTCTAGTTGTAGAGCCC